TTGTGTGAAGAAATACTTCCTTTTGTTTGTTCTAAACCTGCTGCCTATTAATTTCATTTGGTGAAACCTAGCTCTTGTGCTATGAGAAGGAGGAAATAACACTTCCTTATTTACTTTCTTAAGCAAGTAAATTTAGTGTTTCCATTACTCCTTTGCCTTTATAAGCAGAGATTAATTCCCATGTAGCATATATAGCTACTAAGCCACATTTAAGGCGATATATAAAGTATGTAAATTACACATTGTAAGGGAGTTAAGGGCAAAGAAGTCTCTTAGGGTATGTCTAGACCCAGCCGCTAGTTCGGCGGCTGGCAATCGAAGTTCTGGGTTCGACTTATCGCGTCTTGTCTGGACGTGATAAGTCGAACCCGGAAGTGCTCGCCGTCGACTGCGGTACTCCAGCTAGACGAGAGGAGTACCGCGGAGTCGACAGGGGAGCCTGCCTGCCGCGTGTGGACCGAGGTAAGATCGAACTAAGGTACTTCGAACTTCAGCTACGTTATTCACGTAGCTGAAGTTGCGTACCCTAGTTTGATTTCGGGGGGTGAGTGTAGACCAAGCCTTAGAAGAGTTACACCAGTTTACCTCAATGAATTTTTTAAAATGTATTCAATTAGACTGATGCAAACCCCCAATGTAGATACATTTAATCCATTTTAAACCTGGTTTTAAGAAGTTTAGTTCGCATCAGTAAATTACCAAATTAAGCTAAATCATTTTAAGTAAGGACTCGTATGTCTCTACATTAGGTGTTTGCACTAGTCTAAGTACATTGATTTTAAAATATTTAGTTAAACCAGATAAAGGTTTCTAATATACACCAGGCTTAAGTTGCTTTAATTTACTGCCACTGACCAATAAAAAGGTTTAAGTTAAAGTAAGAGAAGAGGCTTAGTTTATCTGACACCTTTTTGCAACCCCTCTCAGTTGCTTTTCCTGTTAAAACCTTTTTCTGGCCCCTCGACTAATCAAAGCAGCTTGTAATCTCTTTCCTTGACCATCAAGGTGTCACATGGAGAATGTGATTAAGCTCAGTTGGCACAGCAAAGGCAGAGATTGGCACTCAGAGCCATTTCCTCCATCAAAAGTGACCTTAGCTGGATGATGAATCTGTTGGGGAAATAACCTTGGGAACTCCTGTACATGATAGTAGAATTTGACCCACCGAGTGAACCAGACTGGCTGTAAATATTGTGTAAATATTGACTCGCCTTGCCTAAGGTAGAGTGCTCTCAATGTCAGTTACTTTGCTCAGAATAAGGAAAATGATAAGAAGTGGGTCTCTGTGTCTCACCAAAACTGAAGTTTGGCATACTCTAGCTTACAGTTTGCTAGGGTTAGCCTGCCAGTCTCTATCTAAACCTCATTGTTGTTCAGTCCCAGACAGAATGAGGAAAAACAGTCCGTTACGTTTTTCAGGTTTTAAAGTAGAAACATATGCCGGAGTCAAGAGGGCTTTGTAGGCTGTTCTAAGCAGCGGGAAGCTGCCCAGCAGGTATTGCTTATTATTAGAGATGGCTTCAGGGGACATGAGGATAATTAGACCTGCCCCTGCCAATAAAAAGAACAAACAAAATTCAAAAAGAAAATATGAAGAGAAATGGTACCACCGAGCAATACCGATTTGCAGTAGATTTTGGAGTATGGTTTTTTTCCCCCCATTTTTAATTCCTATCTTAATTTATTTTGCTATATTTCTTGGGCGTCTGCTTCATCACTACATTATAAATATAGGAATTCTAAAACCTGGAACAACAGCTTGAGAGATTGTTTTACTATCTGCTTTCTCCTTGCCCTAAACGAAAACAATACAGAAGAAAAATACACCTATTTCTTCTGGCAACATTATCAAAATTATCTGATTTGACAAAATTGCTGCCTCCATTTTTCTCCTTAAGATCAGTATAATTGCGATCAGAATATGACCCACGTTCTCTCAGATATTCAGAATCTGTTTGCCCTATAGAGGGGATACTGAAGTATGTTAATGAATTTGTTACCTGACTGTCAAATATACAAGTAAAGGATCTTGTGTTTGTCTGACTCAACATACTGTTGATGCCGGAAGAACAACTACTATGCAATTGTTTTTGTTCAACTCTGGTATTCTGGGTAATATAAATCAATGGGAGTTTTGCCATTGACTTCAACGGGGCCAGCACTTCACCTCTTGTATGTATTACCTTCTGTGAATAGGTTGGTTACTATCCAGTTAAACTCTATGAAAAATGAAGACAGGATTGTATTTAAAAGTGAACATTTGATAAAGCCTTGGGTAAAGACACTTCAGGGAAAATAAAATAAAAATGTATCATTTCACAAACCATTGCTACATTAGTATACATTCAATATTTCTTTCTCCTTTGATGACTATGACCTTATTTGACTTTATAATATAGCCTGGTACTTCTACACAAACTATGCTTTTGTACTTTGAGGGTAATTTTGTGCATATATTTAACAAGGTGAAATATAAATAATAAAAAATATTAATAATAATAATAGTTAAAAATAAAGTGTGCAAAAGGTGTCCCCGTAGGAAATTCTCTGGTGATTTATTTAGTGAAAAATATATGATTTATTTGTTGATAAGAGGTTTTTGTCCCTTAAGGAAATAATTTAAGATTTTGGTGAAAATCAATATAATCTTACTGCATCTGTTTCAGATTTTTATCCCGTCTTTTATATCCTTCTATGAAGACAGTATTTGCCTTTGCTTTTATACTACTGCCAACAAAATAACAATTTGTTTCTGCAATTAATCCTTCTTAATAAATGACGCTTCACTAGAAATAACCCACTACAGTTGCTGTCTAGAAATCACATCCTCCCTCCAATTACTTCCAACATTCAGAAGCTTAAGAAATGAAAGAATCTGCTTCCTGGGATTTCTGGTTGCAAATTAAATGTATGTGTCAAGAATAGAAAGTCAGTTCTGAATTACTGTAATTTCAGCTTTATAATGTGCAGACAGTAATGGGGGCGGGGGGAGGGGAGAATTATGTGTTGTCTCCTGTGCAAACACATGTGCGTCATCCTGACTGGAGACTATTTGCAATACCACAATACAAATTAGCATAATTATTATTAATCAGTACCATGAAACTAAAATAGTTCATCTATTCAGACAGTCAGTTTGTACAGGTATAAATAGCAATGCTTTAGATAACCCCATTATACCTAGGAAAGACTCAGGTTGGAGAGTTACGTCATATTTGACCAAGGTATCTTGAACCACATTGTTTTTGTATGTGTTAATGTAACCCTATATTGAAACATTCACATACACCCCATATGGAATGTTCTGTTCACTTGTTAATTAATACTTTGAACTGTAATACCTACAGTGTGAAAGACAGATTCTGGAGTTTCTATAGAACAATCGCTTCCTATAGCCAGCTCTGCAAATGCACTTAATCCTGACCTGCAACATACTGCTCACAAAAGGTTCAGGCAGTGAACACAGACTGAAAATTGTGCCAAATTACATAGGCCCAGATTTTCTACATTTCCCACTAATTAGGGGTGTC